AAGCACTTGAGACAAAGAGGAGAGAATCCTAATTACCCACCAACACTTGCATCATCCTCAGTTTGCTGTGAATGTGGTGAGAGAGAGTTTGTAGTACATGTATTACATAGTGTGTGAATCGTAGTGCCACCCACTAACTTTAGTATCTTGGGTGTTTGTTTTCACTGGTTTGCCAATTTAGTATGTTTTACTGAAGTCAAGAAAAAAGAGGCGGGCAAGGTGTGTTTTACTCCTAGCACCAGCATTTCTGGCCTTTTGAGGACTGTACTCAGCAATATTTAGTGTTATTATTGCGACAGCATGCTGAAGGATAATATCCAGCAGTCCCCTTCATTTGTGCACTGAGACCTCTGTTGTTGTAGTTTGAGTTTAGAGCATTGTCTACAAGGCATATGCATGATATATCGGTACAATAACTTAATGGCTTGTATTAGAATGTAAGTTATCGGTATTTTGCAGAATATTAAATTGTGCGTGCTCAATTTCCCTTAATTTTACTTTTAGATTACCTTTGCCACCATCCAACGCTCACTTAAAGTTAATCTTCAAAAACATTAATTAAATAACACAAATGTAATCTTTAGCACATTTGTACTTTATTTATACAAAATATTATACATTTTAAGTTTCATTTAAATAGTTAAATATTTAAAATATATAATAAAATACAAAGTAAATTCATGTTTATTTCAGTAGTTGTTTACTTTGCATTATACTGTGATTTTATTTATTTTTTATTTTATTTGTGTTTTGTTTTTACTTTAGACAAAATAGTATATCATTTTTATATTGGTTAAATATTTAAATATTTAAAATATGTTTGTTTTAATAAATATTATAAGATATAATAAATATTGAAGACATATTTATTATATTTTTAATATTTAACTATTTGTTTATGTTAAAAATCAATATTTTAATACCAGCCATAATCATTAGTATCTCCCAGAATTTCAATATTGGTGTCATTATTATGTACAAGGCCTAGTCTCATTCTCATTTTCGCTGTGATGCTTTTTACATTGTAGCTGTTTGTTATTAATTATGTTATTCATGTTGTTATTATTTGTTGTTCCTGTGGCTCAGTGGTGGAGCATTGCGTAAGCAGCGCAAAAGGTCGTGGGTTCGATTCCCAGGGAACACACATACTGGTAAAAAAAATGTATAGCCTG